TGATAAACGATTGCAAAGAAGAAGTGATAAGTAAAACGGATGTCAAGGGTCTAGTTTGGGCTCAAAACCCGACTGAAGCTGAAATTTGTTTCATCCAAGCAAAAGCCAAGTCTGACCCAAATGTATCCTCCCCCAAACACTCGAGAATTGCCACATCCAGCTTTGAGCCTTGTGTTGGGAGCCTTGATGCCCAGCGGAAGTCATAGCAACGAAGATTTGATCAAAAACTGACCCGATCAGGCGTCCTCAAGACATTGCGCCAAAAGTTAATGCTTTTGATGAACCTAGGAGATTGCGCCAGAACAAGGCATGCGTTCCCAAATAATAGTTTCACCACTCGTGCCCATTAGTTCTCACAACATGTTCTGCGGATGTTTTGACCCCCAAATAGATATAGAATGATATAGAACTGTAATGAAAAGATCCCCACTCAGAATGTATTGGAAAGCGTGCCACTATCTACAATAGTTTCAGAGGTTTGATGGCACAAACCTCATCTTTCTATCTACAAGATGTCTATCTACACTGGTCCATGTCAACCTCTGAAACCTAGGGGTCACTTGTGCCACTCGCGGCGGGAGCCGCCCATTTGCTTCCACAGTCGCTCCTCCCGCAGTGAAGAGATCGATGATCTGAGCGGTTCCCGGGATTCGTGGTGCCCCCTCCGTGATTCTGAAGCTTACTCAATCAGCCTGGTATTGGTGGGTGGGTTGGTTGATTGGGCTTGGTGGATGGGTCCCCTGGGTGGGGTTCCTATCACTGCGGAACATGGATGGAACCGCGCAAGCGGAACATCGCCCGCGTGCAGCTGCAGTCTTCAAACGTGCTTGCACATGCCGCAAACATTCGTGGGATTTAGTAGGATATAAATTTCAAGGAATCCAAACATGGTTGGGACCACCAGCTGAGAAAAGAACATATCCTGACCATGACCAAAACGGCGATGCATGCATGTGTTTTGACAAATCCTAATGGCATCCCGTTGCGCTGAACATATATTAACCTTGCCTCAGGCTAGTCTGCGAAATGACCCCACATCTGTGATTTCTCGTCTCTTGCAGCAACACCAAACCACAGGTGTGACAAGGGGAAGGTTTGGTTGGCATCGCGAACATCCAGGAGGCGATCGCTGCAATGCATGCGGCATTTGGCTTCTGTATCAAGAGTAGGAGTAGGGCAGATTGAACATCCAGGCGATCGGCCCTGGATATTTACATGTTGACTCGTGGGGCCCGCCGTGGATCGGCAACACAAGCAACAGTTCAGCGGCAACTTGGTGTCTTCAAATGCAACTTTATACAATACATGCCCTAGGGCTCCAAGTACCTGCTCAGAAGGTATTTGGACCCTCCTGGCACCCACCCCAGTCCCAACTTCTTAGAAGGTACGACTGGAACCCTAGGGATGAATAACTTGAATGACACCCCTCTTGCATCACAGGGAGTTCACTCTTCAGGAGCCATCCACACAGTCCACACATCTCGGTGTGGTTTACAGTAACGCTCACAGAGACGCTCACCAAGACATTCGGGGCCCCCAAAACCAGATGGTGAAAGGAACATCGACCAGGTTCTAACACCTTGGGCCCAGCGGGGCCCAGCGGGGGCCTTGCGGGTCGGTGGTGCCAAGCCACCAGGAAGCGCAGGGTGGCCGCCACCAGCATCCCACCCAGGAGAGGCGTCAGCGCACGCCAGGAGAGAATGCGCACATGTTCTAGGCCGGTGCGCACGTGTTCAACGCCAGGGGTGGGGCTACCTGAAAGCTATCTGTACACATATATATCTGTACCCTGTGAACATCAACTGCAATCTTTCACAACATGAAGGGATCACAAAATACCAAGCGCAGTGATGAATCCAAATCCAACATGGCCTACAACAAGAAGCTTTCCACCATGTGGTTGAAATCGCTGCAGGCCGCGGTCAAATCTCGGAACAACTCTGGTCAGCTCATCCGCCACAGAGTGAGACTGTTGGAAACGACTAATGCCTCCAGCTGACAGGGGATACGGTACTTCGTTCTTCCTGGTTCGGGAGTGTGGTCCAGCAAACATGCTCCCATGTCCATCGTTACATGAGTTTTGTCATGTTTTGTCAACCCCTCTCATGTGACACGTCTCCCAGAATATATCAAACAACCGTTCACAAGATCTTTTTGGGGGAGTCGCTGCAATGGCCTGGCGCCAGCTGCTCGACTCCGACGTCCACAGGTCGTCGGACCGACATCCTCCGCCCTCCGTCGACCCCACTGGGCCAAGGCTCGTAGGCACAGGCCACCGAAGACCGAGACCAACATGGTTAAGCCAATGAGCGCCGCGGGCGAGTCCATCAGTCCTAGGGCGTTCGACGGATGAAAACCGTTGTTCGGCGCTGTCGAGGATTGGGACTTGGAGTGCAGTGGTAGCTCGAGATGGATGGGACTTGGAGTGCTGTTGTGCTCTGGAAGTGGTCAGCAACAGCAAAGTCTAAGTAAGTTGTGACATCTTGTGACGGCTTGTGTGCCGCAGTACTGAAGATTTCCCAGGACCACTTAGTGAACCCCCCACAATTGAAATCATTCTTCCAGTGGGTTGGGTTGTGCATTGGGCGGTTCTTCGGGGGTGTGGTCCGGTCCAGTGACATCTTGTTTTGGTTCCAGTTGTCCACCCCAGGGCAAAAAGCCGGCACCCATCCGCAAAATCTCTTATCACCACAGGCCAGGAGTGGTAAGCTTTTAGGCAAAGAAACACGGAACAAACATGGAACCTGGAACGTGCTCACCCCCAGAACGTTTGCAAAACAACCGTGCGCAAGTATCTCCTTACCACCACACTGGGAACAAAGAGGTGGTAGAACTCCTGAACCCTTCCAGAAACATTTCCCCGAATCTTCCTGAACATCCCCAACAACTCAACACCCAGAGTCGGACAGCTGAAATCCAGCTTGCCCGGCTTCTGCCCCCCCCAAAAGTCTATTGCAAGCCAGGTGAGAGGCCAGCACAGGGGCTCAATTCAACCCCAACAATGATCATCTGTCAACCTGATTCCAACATATTCCAATATTCCAGACACATTCTCCAGGCTGATCCTCTGGCCCCCATCCTTCCAACCGGCTCCTCTGCTACGATCCGATCCCGAACTCGATCCGCCCAGGTGCCCAGCCCCCGTCGTCCAAGGAAGGTCAAAGAGCCTGACGAAGTGAAGAACACTCCGCATCCAGTTCTTCTACCTTCTCAGGTTCGGTACGACTGGACCCCGACGTTTTGGCACCGAATTGCCGCATATGCCTATACCATAACAGTGTCGAAGACATCAGCGGACCTGAGAAGCTACGACTGGATCCCTTTTGGGGACTTGGCCAGCGAGGTGGCAGCGGTGATGAGCTTCGAGTCTCGCACCGTTGATGGGAGATGCGCTTGATGATCCACGTCGCCCCAAAACATCGTGGACTTGGACCTTCGCCTGGTTTCGGTGATGAGTACTGGGATGATGGTCCTTTGAAGGGGATGATGGTCCTTTGAAGGGGCGGGTCATAGCATGTCACAACCTGGCTGTACTCCTGGCTGTCCATTCCAGCTGGTCGTCACAAGGGCCTTGCCAAGTGATATGAAGTGAAAGTGTTCAAAACCGGCCTCTCACTGGAGCACACCTCGCATCCCCCAACAGAAATCACTCATGAAATCATGCATAATGATGCAGCCTTCCGCTTGATAGATCCCAAAGCAAAACACGTTGCTGCACCAGAGTGGGCAGTGTTTCAAGTGGACGAGCGCCTGACACGAGTGGTGCATCCACCAGTGGTACACTCCAGTCACCAACATGGAAGCGGACAGCTACCTGTTTGTAGAGGATAGCTGATCAATCCTAATCATCCAAGGGGCCATTGATTTCTGGTTGATCCATTGGCTCGTCCACAGAACATGTCATCTTCAAATCTGGATTGCCCGAACTCCCGGATAACCTTTGAGGGGTTCATCTGCCCAAATTCAAGCACCGTTCACCCCTCATCCCCAGTCCCTGGAGGCCCAGGATGCATGACAATGGAAGAAAGACCACCAGCTGAGGAAAAAGAACAGCGCCACCAGCTGGAAGAATGCCCTCAAGTTCCATTCGCCCAGCCCGTTTCCAACCGCCTCTTGGTCTTGGGCAGCCTTCCACTCGACAAAACTCGCGCCCCTCGACTCGACTCGACTCGTTTCGTTTCCTCGACTCGCTCAGTCGACCTGCCATCGCTGCGCCGCAGGCAAAGACGAAGACGGGATACATCCGGTGCGCAAAGACCACGCCGCCTGGGCGAGACCGAGACGGGGTGACCGGTTGCGGAGGCGCGACCAAACGGGTGGAAGATCGGAAGATGGTCGTTGGGATGCGCAACGGAACAAAGACGAAAGTGGATGTCATGAAGACATGTTCAAATGGGAGTGACGGCCTAGCTGCAATATAGAATGAATACCACAGGATTGCAAATTGGTCGTTCTTCGGCTGATCAATGAAATGTTGTGAGGTCTCAATCTTGGGTCACTTGTCCCTGTCGGCGGGTGCCTAATTCTGTCAAGCAAGCTCATGTGAAACTCGGATACTCGGAAAGCGAGTCCACCCTCGCAGCCCAAATCGAAAACGTGAAGAATCCGCCAACTCCTCCGAAGTCCACAGCACCCTTTACACCATGGGCGGACTTTTGAAGCTGACTTGTCTTGGGTGTGCATTCAGGGCCACCTTGGCAGTATCATCTCCGCCGGAGCCAACCGAGCCGTACTCCGGGTGCTCGCGCGACCTGCTCGTGCTCACGCGACCTGCTCCGGTCGGGCCCTCCTTTTACCGGTCGTGCTTTGGTCAGTGACACCGGTCGTGCCTCGCCTTCGGAGGACGGTGACGGTGAACGTTCGGTGAAAGCGGGCGATCCGAGATGCAGCACTTGGAAGCAGCACAGGGTCGTTGCCATGGTGTTTTTGCAAACAGGCCGATGCCGTTGCATCTATTTAAGCTATATAGGCTATAGTCATGTAAGATCATGTAAGTCATTGCAACGTCATGTAAAGGAAGTCGTTCGGATACGCCTCAAATCTGACTCAACTCCCTCCCTTGGAGCGGGCTTCAGGGGAACACACTGCAGCTCCGTATACTGTCAGACGGCCTCCTGGTTGTTAGCCAGTCCGCATGAGAGGGGATCTGACGTTCGCTGTGAACGTCTGCCTTCGCTCACTTCCTGCAGCTCAGGCCCAGTCCTTGCAAGCGTGTCCATGTTGCAAATTGCCAGAATTCCTACATGATGGTCCATGGTAATATATATTTGCATGATTGAAGATTCAATCTCCGCACCCGAGACATCTATCATGCATTCAAGGCTCCAGCCTCAAAACCCACGAGCACTTTCCCATCGCAAATCCCCGTATTACACCCCTCCCATCCAAAAGTCGGCCGAATCAAACCCCAAGCAGTTCTCCACTAAATCATTCACCTCCTTACTTCCCCCCCCAAACAAAACGGAAAGAAAAACAAAGACCACACCTGGCCGCCTGGCCTTCTCCTTCCAAACCAAACACCGGACCGTCTGACAGATTCCCGCCGAGACGCTGACTCGCGCTACAGCTACAGCGCTCGCTCAGTCGAAGGCGCTCAAGTTCGGTGCTCGGAAGCTGCGGCTCATCGTCGAGCGGTTGCCTGGATTCATGGGACCCACGTCGTTGGTCACGCTCAGCGGCACGTGTCCCGCGTAGTGCAAGGTGTTGATGTGATACCTGGGGAATACGCGGCGCGGGGATCCTACACGCGAAGACGACGTTCGGGAAAGCGATGTCCGGGTTTTGGCACTCGCGATATATAGGACCCGTGAGAATGGGGGCGATGTCCGAAGCATGGTGGAAACGGGGCTACCAATTCAGCCATGGCGGCCGGAGCAGGTGAACTGGAGAAGGTGCCATGGTCGGAGGTGAACGGAGAGAGACACGGGTGAACTTGAATGTGGGAATATTGTTCACACAATGACATGTGGAAGAGTTGTAACATCGGTATAGCGCCAAATCCTGCAGGGCACTAGGGGTGGAGAACCCTCCCAGCTTGAAAGGCGCAGCTCCTCGCGCCCGAAAGATTGAAGATAAAGATAAATAAAGACTTTCACGAGTTTGTGGGATATTGTGGGATATGATATGCTTGGCTGACCATGCTGACCCGCTCAGTTTTGTGGGTGAAAATGTGTGTTGTTCTTTTTTGGGTGGTGAAACCAAGGAGTCCAACGCAGTGCATAGGCGATGTGATGTTCTTCCACCTCACCACATCAAAAAGAATCCCCTGCTGCATTCAGAATCAACCTGAGTCCTCTCTGCACCCCATCCCAGCGGCTGATCCGTGATGTGGGACTTGTCATTGGTGCGGGCGGTGGCACCACTCTCCACCCGCGCGCAGTAAGGGTTCCGGGTGTTGGTGGGCAAAAAGCCGTTATAGCCTGGCAGAAGGATCTCAACGTCTGAACCCACCAATTTGGTCACCTGGGGTTGTTTGCTGTCTGTTTGGACAAGGCTAATCCGCTTAGTGGAAGGTCATCCGCACCTTCCAAAAGGGTTTCCGATGGAGATGCATGAGTAGTGTGAGGGCTTCCATTGGTGACCCCTGGTGCTGGCATTGTTGGATACTGTTGGATGCTTTTCGTGAGTACGTCGAACTGCACATCTCACCACAAATGGACTCAAGAGTCTGGTGAAATGTTAACACCTCTGTATGATGGTGGGCAGTTGATTATTGAAGCCACGCTTCCATGGAGCTGGCCCTGAAGAAATCATCTGCATCCCCTGGCTTAGGTCTGCCCTCGGATTTGTCCATCCCCACACCTTTGTCCCAATTTTTGAATCAAGCGCGTAGCACATCCCAACAATTTGACAATACATCCACCAATCCAGCAGCTTCTTCGCTGTCCACCTCTTCCCAAGTCCAGGTTCCCAAGTCGTCTCCGACTGCCTGGAATGTGCAGAGTGCCCTTGGGTGTGCCTTTGGTCAAAGCGGTCTTGCGAATGGGGATCCGGTCCAGCAAGGGGTCCACCTTGTCACGTGGATCTGATCCGTACCTGAGGACGCCAAGAAAAACGGATGAACAAATCAACCAACACGACGGAAAAAACATCGCCTGCCGGTCCGCCCGAACATATTCCATGGCCAAACCAAAGGCCTCCCAAAAGCTCGCTATGGGCCAGTGATGGCCAGTGGCTAGGATCTGCAGGAACTGGAGTTGAAGGATGACTGAGGGGCTTCCAGCGCCAATGAAGGTTTGAGGTCCTATTGAAGCTCTCGGAGCCCACCAAGGTCACGCAAGTCCAGTGTTATGCGCAAGAAACAACACGTGAACACCCCTTCCCGTTGCTCCCTCTCATTAGTCATTCTCCCGTCCACATGAAGAAAAGTCCACACCACCCTTTCCGTCCACCAGAAGACGAACGAACTCGACCAGCATATCCTTCTCACCCTTTCTCCATCCTTCCCATCTCGCGAGCAAGACCATTCTCCCAGCCTTCCCCCCATCCTTTCCAAGCCTTCACGCCACCCCTTCCCATCCTCCCCCAAAATCCTCGAAGTCACACCCCAAAATCCTCGCTCATAGCACTCATCGATCCTGCTCCACCGATGCAGGTGGGAGGATTCGCTGCTTGGTAGGAGGGACCTGTCTGCCTGCGCAGGTTTCGGGCAGTGTCACCGGGTGTGCGCGTGGTGTGGGTGTGCCTGGTTGTTAGAAGGGCCAGTGATGAGGCAACGGGGAACATGAAGGCTAACGAACAACTGAATGGCCTGAGTTGGGTAACAAACGGCCTGTTGTGCACATCAGAAAGCCCAATTTTGAACCCAAAAGGATTCCGGCATCCGCAGCTGAACAAGTTGCTTGGACGGGTTTGGTCATCAAAAGTTTCCAAAACCATCACATCAATCACCTTAAAGGAAGAAGAACTGTCGAAAAATGACTTCCAGGAGTTCCAAAAAGGATTGCTTTAGATTAGTTGTTTTAGAGCCTATAAGCGAGTGGATGATGGGCACCCTATTCTCCATTAAGCCACCCCAAATGGGAACTGCTGGCTCCAATCGGCCTCATCTTTTGGATCTGCCCATCCGCCGCTGGCCCATCCACCCATCTCCCCACCGCTGTGTTTATAGCCCGCCTATGATATGCGGACCCAACGATTGCATTGTCATCGTGTGAGGTCTTATAGGTCGAGGACCAATGCGCTGCGCCTCGATGTCCCACGGAGCTCGCCTGGGCGGCCACGAGCTGCGACGTGGCCGTGGCGGTCGGAGCGGCGAACATGAGCTGCGTGGGGCGCGCAAGCGCGCATCGAAGCCAGCGACCGGTGGCAGCACGGCTGGTGAACTTGAGCACCCGCAATGAAGCGAAGCATGATACCCAGACACTCCATGTATGCCATAATATGCCTACATTGACCCCCAAAACCACCCCAATGTAGGCATATATGGCATACATGGAGTGTCTGGGATATATTGACCAGATTCTTCAAACAAACTTTTGGGCCCATGATGTTATGATCCCTAGTGCTCCTGTCTATCCTCAGGTTCGGTGGTTAGGCCCCCCTGGCACCCAACCCAAACATCTTCTCAGAAGGTAGTTGAAGCCCTGGGGAATAATGAATAATAGTTGATATTACATGAATATGCTTATCCGGATGCTATAGCTATAGGCTATAGGTTTGACCCTCACAGTGGGTGACCAAACACAATGCTCGACCTCCTTCTCCCATTTACGGCAGGTAAGTCAACCACCACCCAGGCACTGACGGTTCTTTCTGCCGGATGGGCTGTGTGGGATTCTTGTAGTCCTCAATCACGGTCAGCTCCGAGACCGTCTCTCCTGGGCTGAGACCGGTCACTTGGAGAATGCGCTACGTGCCACCTTGGAAGCGGCGGTTTTGACCACTACCAGCTTCTTGCCACGTTCGTAGCGATGGCCTCCAACCTACTTGCGATGGCCTCCACCAAGCATGAGGCGTCTGAATACTTATTCCAAGGCGGCGGCGCTGAATTGCAGTGTCTCTACGAGATTGCTCCTTTTGGTCAAGTTCAAATGGTCCTCTAGTGCCACCCACCCTCATTGACCTGATTCCCTCGCTTGAAATCTGCAACCCCGGGTCACCTAAGCTACCGACGAGGAGATGAGGAATAATGTGTGTCTGCTTGCTACCTTTCTCACATGGCAAGGGCGGGGTCTCCCTGTCCAAATCCGAGCCTTGGCATGTTGTTGGCTGCTTTCAAAAATCAAGGATGCCCACGAGTCAACGTCTGTGTGTGTGTGTGTGACTCAGTTCTGAACAAAGAATGCTACCCTTCATCACCTCTTCTATTTGTTTTTCCCCTCCCAGGCGGCTGCACACGATAGAAGCTATGGCATGCTATGAGCCCTGGCGGTTTGCCGCGCCGTGGTCTGCCGAAGTGGTGGCCTTAACACTGCTACAAAGGATGCCCTGCGTAGCGTCGCCCCGTTTTCCGATGCATCGACCGGGTCGAAGCCTTCGACCCATGAAAAACAGCGGGTCGACTGACTGGTCAACTGCTTGATTCTAAACAGTTTTGTTATTTCCCAATGTTTTTCGCCAACTCACCCGGAAAAACAAAGTGAGTCAAATGGGACGGGAGGTTGGCTGTACTCAGGCTTCATTGGAGAAATGGGCTTCGGTCAAACTTTCGAACCGTGGCTTAGATGCAACTCCACTCGCTAACAGGGCCACCTACAAGAACGAGTGGCCGCAGCTCACGAGTGGCAGCTCAACCGCTGACACCCGGTCGGTCCAGGATGGACAATACCTACAGTCTCCTCAAAGCACAAGGTGAGGTTCTTCATTGAGGTTTCCACATTATTATTCCCATCACCCCCCCCCCAAAAAAAAACTCCGATCAGCTCTGACCCGAAAAAAAAATACCGCAAACTGTAAAGCATCTAGATCTTATTAGCCTATTATAAGGTCCTCAAACACACCGCGCCACTCACCCCGCACAACGTCCGACTTCGGTGCGTCCACTCGTCGACGAAAACGACAGCGAGTCTCCGTACATCGACTTGGGCGGCAAACGCTCCGCCACGTAGGTCGTCTTCGGGTCTGGTGCCTCCTCGGAGTAGACCTGGTCGCGACTTGTTAGGATGGAAGGATATGGGGAGGAGAGGTCACAGGCAGTTGTGGTGCTAGCTTATGTGGATAGATTTTTTGGCTTCGTATGTAACTTTTAGAGGAGGGGGTTCACTGTCTTAATCAATTCTGGGGTCTATTATCATGATTCAGAATCATGATGATGATATGGCATGGGAGGCGACCATCTTTCGACTGCTTGGGAGCACAACCGAACTAGTGAAGAATAGTAACTACTCTGAGGCTCTAGAATTTGCACAGGCTCTCAAACCGAATGATGGAACAGGTGGAAAGGTTTGGTTCGCTGATGTTCCAAACCACAACGGCTCAAACGGATCAGGTTTTTCCTAACATTTTCCCAGGTCCCGAGCACGCTCACCAAGGCACTGCGCGGCTCCCCGCGGTGGCTTGCCCGGGCTTTAGGCATGGCGGCGCCACCTCCCAGGAGGCCAAGAAAAGAGCCTAGGGCAAGAGGCCACGTTTCTTTGGGGTTCAAGGCAGGCTGAGATGGTAGGTATAGCATAGCATAGAAGGTCTTGTTTTTGACAAATGCTGATGCAAAAAGCTGATGGCATAACATGGCATAACTATCTATATGTCAACAAAAACCTGAAGAAAAACCTCCCTAGCACTTCCAACACGTGCCCAATGGAGAGCTGTAAGTAGGATAGGGTAGTAGGGTAGTCTAGCCAGGACACCCATTGGATGATCCTGGTCTAGGATCTTCAATGTGGAAAACCTCTGGAGTTATTCGGATCCAAAGACCCTCCCCATATCTCCCCAAATGGCGGGCCAAATCCAAGAATCGGAATCAAAGAATCCACGCTTCCGAGCTTCGGAAAGCCGGTCCCATGGCTTCCTCAAACTCTTCAACATGACTGGTTCTCAACTATGACAGTTGAGTGAACCAGTCATGTTGAAGAGTTGAAACCAGCCAGCCAAGCAACCCAAAGGACCCTAATTAAGCCAGTTCCCAGGCATTGCTCACAAGAGGGTGAGAAACACACACCAAACTTGGGGTGATTTAACCGCCCATGTTAGGGTGCTCAAATAATTAGGGGGTGGCCTTGAGCCCCACATCCGCTGTCTACACCGAGCCACGTGCTGCGTCGCCCGTTTTGGCACGTGCGTCATCTGCGCAGCGCCCGCATTGACCAGGGCGCCGCTGCTGGCGGAGCGGCCGAGGCCCGCCATCGCTAGCTGAAACGGGCCGTTCAGATGAAGCCAAGATAGGCTGAGGAGATCAAAAGTTCAAGATGCATCGCTACTAACTAGCAAAGGGCATCGCTATTAGTAACAATAACAAGTTCATCGCTACTAGTGGCAAGAAGCTACTAGTAACAAGATCCTATTGTGCCCCCCCCATCCTTACGATAATAGGACAACATGAAGTCCACCATGCGAAGATGCCGATTTTCTTCAGATTCCCCAAACCGACTAGCTCCAAACCCACTCTGCCCTGCAAGAGTGATGAAAACACCCATGTCAACAAAAACATGAGAGAACTTTCACACTGAGGTCAGAACAAGCAAAGACCACACAGGCCGAAATCACTCCAGGGATGGCCTGTCCTGCAAGGCAAACATTGACTGTATCCCAGTCAGCTGGGTGAAGCTGGGTAAAGTTGGGTGTAGCCCGGTCAGAAAAGCGCCATGTCAAAAGGAAAAACAGCCTGATTGCAATGATTGGCCCGCAATCTGTTTCTTTAAGGCAAACTTGACATGAAAGAAATGGGTCTGAAACAACATGTTGATTGAACTTGCTGTATCCTTTCCAGCGACCCATTTGTCAAAGGACTGTTTGTCGTTGTATATATAGATGTTTGGGCAACGCTGGTTGTCCCCTGCTTTGGGATGAGCAAACCCCGATGTAGCACTAAAATGTACTAAACTATACATGCATAACTTGTCGGGATTATCAGTTTCATCGCAACTTAAACTGGACACGAAACCACGCGGTAGGGCACCATGTTCCAACATTGCAAGAAGCAGCAATCGTGAAATCGCGTCGGTTGAACATTTTGACGGCGGCTCGGTTTGACTGAGTGGGCGCGGCTATGTAAGAAAGAAGAGCGTCACCAATCGTCATCGTTTTTGCAGGCCTAAGGCCATACATAAACATGCTTCAGAGCAACAGTGTAACCAAAAGCTGTGCTTTACAATTCCTGATTCTGGAGTTGCTTGCATTGATCCACGTCGATCAAATGACACATCGATCATGCACTCGCATTGCAACAACAATCTCGGACAAATGGTTGTCCCACCCGTGAGTGGTTGAAAGAATGTGCATGCTTTCCCATATCCTGGCCAATTGTCATTCAGCATTGGGTTTGGTGTAGAAGTCCAGATCATTCTATGTGTAGAAGTCCAGATCATTCTATATCGATATATATATATTTATATGTCAAGTAGCAATCAGTGTCACCACATGACCAAAGTTCATCAGCAGTAAGTCTTCCAGAGCATCAAGAGGTCAGTGAAAAGGGATCGGATATGATCGGATCTATCCTACTCAATATCCTGCTTTGGATTCTCGCCACACATGCCGCCCACATTCACAGTCCTTCGTGCCAGGCCACCGACAAGGTTCGCCCCCCTAACGCCAATGCAGTACCCAAGACCTCATTGGGGCGGGCCTCAAACTCTTTGGCTGAACACCTTGGAAATTGTATGGATAAGAAGCTGGACCATTAGAATTAACTATATATTATTTATATAACTTAGGAAACTGATCACCCTGGAATCCCCCCATAGAAGCTAATTTTAGTATACAGGATCCTGCCGTTGGACTCCTCAATCCATTTGGGCAGGCAAAGCGCCCGCTGACACCGTCCAATCCTGTCCGGTCAGGACGGAACGTCAGGGCCGTCCGGGCTACAAGGATTCCTGTTGGACCGGACCATCAGGCAATGCCTCACCCACCTAACACATCTCCAGACCAGGCCATGTGCAGTTTGCTTCAGGACACCACCCTTCATCTGGCCGGTGGTCTAGACCAGGCCATATTCCCACCAGACCAGGTCGACCCGGAGAAAAGCAAGGACCAAAACCAAAACCGCCAAACCGTCCGGACCCTCTGTCCCCCGAGTCGATCCGCCCGAGCGACAAAGGTCGGCTTCATCAGAGCGAAGCCCCTCGCCACCAGCAGCACTCCCAGCACAGCAGCCGTCGCAGCCACCAGGCCTAGCGCGGTTCCACCGAGGATGTGATCAACCTGCCGGTATACCAAGAGAGGTTCAGTGACCTGAACGTGATTCGTTCTCGTCCGATTCCGAGAAGGGCAGTGCTTGAAGCAACAGAATTGCTAGGGGCCACCGTATTCCGCATCTGTCCTCCGGATAGCCCTGTATTTAGAGGCTGAATCGCCCCACTGGACACCCATGAAAACTCGTCTAAAACGACCACAAGGACCTAAAACTGGGGGTAGGAGCAAGGACGCTACTAGGGGCTCCTGGCCGTACTACTAGGAGCAAGGACGCTACTAACTAGGAGCAAAGGGCATCGCTAGCTACTAGGAACAAGGGCCTTACTACTAGTAACAAGAAGCTATTAGTCTATTAGTAACAAGGGCATCGCTACTAGGAACAAGGGCATCGCTTCTAGTAACAAGTGCCTTACTACTAGTAACAAGAAGCTAGTAACAAGAACCCGTTTGTCCCTCCATGTCCGCCACACCAAACCATCCAAAACGCATGGACTTTGGCTCGGTTGGGGCTCCAACGGCCGCTTTTTGGTCGCGTGACCCTTCAAATGACTTCGACTGGTGACTTGGAGTACGCCTGGAGTAGACCTGGAACCTGGTCTTGATCTTGAAGACGTTCACTTTTGAAGACATGAATAGCTGCTTTTTGAGCTCGGCGCTCTCTTAGGTGGGGCAGTGACCGCCTTGATCCAGGGAGTCCACGGCGTGCTCCACATGCGACCAGCTGGTGGACAGCGACGAGTCCGTCTCCAGAAAGGCCTGGCAAAGCCCGCGATGAGACCACAAGCGGGCGATCCTTCCCGGTGTGGGACGGATGTGGCGACCTTGTGGGGCCTTGTGGCTCGACCTTTGCCAAGTCTGGTATAGAAACACCTCTGCTCAGCCATCTGAGTTCCAAAACCCCCACAGTCGCACGGTCTTCCAGTGATCCACGGAACACGCATGCGAACGCGACACGAGACGACCTCTCGGATCTCGGCGACGGAGACCTTTGACCATGCTTCTCTTCCAACAGAGGTTAAGTGACCTTATAGGACCCTACCAGGGTACCTATGGGACAGTCTATAGGGTTCTTCAACCTCTGTTGGTTAGTTTATCTTGTTGAAAAACAATGTCTTACAGGTCAATGACCTCAATTGACTGACGTTGGTCATACAAAAAAGCACTCAAGAGTAGGTCAAGGACCAGGTTTTAACTTGTAGGGAATGTCTTGCCCTAGGGATCCATTCGTACCTTCTCAGAAGGTGATTGGAGACACTGTGATGTAGGTGCCAGGAGGGTCCAAGTACCTTCTGAGAAGGTACGACTGGATCCCTAGGGTTATATATATATATATTAATTGTATATATTCGGTACAAGGCCACCAATGCGTCCGGGCGAAAAGCGGGTGTGGCCATGGCTGGGTCGGAAAGTGGATGCAATGGAAGGTGATTCACTGCAAATGGCCAACAACCAAGGACATCACCTGAAGCAGTGCAGTTCGCCCAGTACGTACTGTGATTTTTCCAGCCTGACCAGGTCAGTCACTGACAAGCCTTTCAGTCGATGCAATGATTCAGCCAGGATCGTATATGTAACTTGAGCACATGTGCTAATGAACTATATATATATACATATAATTATTGGTGGGTCGAGTGTCAAACCTCTCAGCTGAGGGTCATTTTGAACTATCTGAAGCTCAAAGAATCATTACAAAATACTAACAATACCATCAAATGCTCACTATAAGTGGAGACTGACCTTGATTTACCCATGGCTCAAGAATCCTTGTCCCAAAGGTGATGCCAACCCGGCACCAGCGATTGGGATCCTACGGGGGGAGACACGCGTTTTTCGTGTTATTCAATGTTTTCATATCCCTAGAGCCCCAGTCGTACCTTCGTTTCGAAGGTGGGACTGGGGTGGGTTTAAAGGGTCCAATACCTTCAGAGGAGGTACTTGGAGCCCTAGGGTATATGTTCTGCGGGCCACTTCCATGAGGATTCCGGGGAGTGTACCTGGTAATTTACGGTCCATTGACGGCTGAGCCCTTACTCCAAGCCGCCAACGACCTTCGCCTTTTTTGTCTTGTTCAAACCTTTTTGCGCCTCAGTCATCTGGACCAGCCGCTCAGCATGCTGGTGCAAGGTGTGCGACATGCCTTGGAGGAACTTCTGCCTGCGGTGCTCTGGTCGTTCCATCAGTGAATTCTGGTGGGGTCTGCCGTGCTGGCCGCCCGGAATGAAGGGAATACATTTCGACTTCTTATGAAAGGTCCACACAGGAGTGAGGGGGAGGCTCGTACAGCTTTGAGCATCGCAACAAACAAGATAGAAAGAACAGAATGCTGCGTCAACCACTTATGTGGGAAGCTATCCATGGAGGTCATTCCATTCCCGAGTCTCCTGCGGTCTGGAAGTCTGAAGAATAAGACCTACAAAGACTGTGCATTTCCAGTGCCCCACTTCCTTACTGCTTTCTCTTTTCAACTAATGCTCCAACGTCGCTGCAACCCATGCACCGCCCGTACGCCTTTCCCAGGGCTGCAGCACAGCGAGCCTTTTGCCCTTGAGCAGCTCAAAACGCAGCTGCACACACACCGCTGGAAGCCGGGGCAGGCAGTTATGGCAATCAAAAGAACATGCATACCGGACCACCCACTGTTTGGACATGTTTGGACGTTAAATCTGGTCTGCCATCCTGGGGGTAAGGGTGCCAAACACCGACATCCTGCAGAACCACCCTCGCCCCACCCGTGGTGTGATGCAGTTGACGACTTTCAAGACCATCCCAGAGGCACATAACAGAACCAATGTAAAACCAAATCTTATAAACATCAGTCAAAACATGTCAACACCACACCAAGCCACCGAGCTCGAACATCTCTTTCAGAACATGTCAAGACCATAGCCCAATCGCCTAATCACTGTCTTCCTCTCCGATTTGGAGTTCTCCCTTCGCCCGATCTCCCTCCGCGGCCCGCATCGCGCGCCCGCCGTGGCCAACAGCCTCGTGGCCGGTGGCCCCGCTTCCCGGGCATGCACTCCCGGCCTCCGAATGAACCACCAAGAGACCCGGAGACCGGGAGACACAGGTGGTCTTGCTTAAGAAGCTGATCAGTGGTGCTTCGCCCAGTATCGGGGGTGGAGGTAGGTAATAGTACAC